GATCTCAGCTGGAAACCCCACACCTCGTTATATTCAGAGAACCCTCAAGCTCTGACTGATCTTGCTGCAATCTTTCAGACCCATCTCCCTACTTGAGATGACCGACTGCCATCACTTACTTCTGACCTTCTTCAATACTGAAGAACGCCTGAGAAATACTTTCAGAGAGGCAAAATTATGACAGTGATCCACAACAGGAGGGACCAAAATTCTCATGCCAGGATGGAAACTGAGCAAGGAGAAATATATAAATGTGTATGTGTGTGTGTATGCAAAATAAAGTGCATGAATCCATGGTCACGTGGACTCAGCTGGGAACTGGAGGAAAAGCTATCTAAACAGTCTAAAAACAAAAGTAGGGGGCTGGGGATTTAGCTCAGCGGCAAAGCGCCTGCCTGGCAAGCGCAAGGTCGTGAGTTCGGTTCCCGGTACCGGAGAAAAACCAAAAAAAATAAAAAAAATTAAAAAAAAAAAAAATAAAAATAAAAACAAAAGTAATTTAAAAATTATTTGAACTGTTATAGGCAAAAACATAAAAGAGCTGATTAACTTCAGTGCGCCAGAATGTACAGGTGGGATGGTGGCAGGCAGGCTAACAAAAGAGAGGCAGAACACCTGAGGTGCCAGCAGGCTCAGTGGCTAGGCTGTCATGGAGACGCAATGCCAAGAGACTTAGGCCCAGCTGTGCATGCTGAGATTGGAGGGAAAAAGCAAGAGTTATCTTTTCATTTCAAAGCAAGCAAGGGAATAAGACAGAGCCCAAGCTCTCCTGCTGGCTTCGGGAGCCCCAGGCCAGCCCTTGTTTGACATCACCAGCCTGGCACTGCCTACAGGCATGTAAAATCTGGAGCAGCTCCAGCCTGGGGTAAATGGCCAAAATACTGTTGAGCCATGGGGCTGGGGATTTAGCTCAGCGGCACAGCGCCTGCCTGGCAAGAGCAAGGTCGTGAGTTTGATTCCCGGTACCAGAAAAAAAACCAAAACCAAAAAAAAAAAAAAAAAACTATTGAACCTAAGGAAGAAATCAAATTACAAATTTTAACTAATGGGCAAATATATTTTCAATTTTCAGTTTGAGCTGATGTGCATAAAACATTTTTTGTACATTACATTGAATTTATAGGGTTAACTTACTCTTTATTGTTTTAATGTAAAAACACTGATTCAACATTACTTGGAGATCTGCTGGAAGTTGGTCAAGTTTACTATCTGAGGGATAATGGACATTTTAAAATTCAAGTGGCTAAGCCGGGTGTGGTGGCACACGCCTGCAATCCCAGCACTCAGGAGGCTGAGGCAGGAGGATCGTTGCCCGTTCAAGACCATCCTGAGCTACAAAGTGAGCTCAAGGCCAGCCTGAACTGCATAGACAGACCCTGTCTCAAAAAGACAAAAAAAAAAATAAAATAAAATTTCAGTGGCTATAGTCAAGTTTGTTGTAAAAGTTATAGTAAATGGAAAAAATATTAAGAAGGCTATAAATGTAGGAGATATACTTTTGATATGAGAGGATTCTGTATGGTGAAAGTCTTGTCCTACTGAAGGGATAAAAAGAAAGATGACAAGACTAAAAAGCTTACCTTTATGCCTTATGCTGACTGACGAGCTGTTTGCCAGCCGACCTGACCTGCAGAACGGAGCCCTTGGCCGACGTTGAGCACACCCTGTTCATGGATGGAAGTAGCTCGGTCAAAAATGAAAAACGCCAAGCTGGCTACGCAGTCATCACCACCGAAGAGGTGCTCCCAGCTGGACCTCTTCCCCAAAACTGGTTGGCCCAACAAGCTGAACTCCAGACACACATAGAAGCCCTCATCTGGGCCAAAGATAAAAGAAATAGAAATGACAGAGATCCATCTCTGGATTCCTCACTCCGAAATCAAGTGGGCTCATCCCGACTGCTGAAAGGCCTACCCTGACAAGTTAGCCCCTTTGAAGACCACCCTAAAAAGACAATGCATCCAAAGCCATGCTCCCACCACTCAGGAAGTTGATGAGTCAGTGCATGGCTTCAGATTGATTGGACACTGTACACCGGGGAGTGTCTGCCCTAAAAGTCATGTGCTGCTATTCTGTTTGGTTTCTGGCCCTCTTTCCTTTTGATAATCTGTACATTTGCCCTGGGACTCTGGGCTGTATCCCCAGAGGACTGGAGAGTTCCCCAAAAGGTTGCCTTTGACCTTTTCTACATCTGTGTAACCACTGGACTGCCCACCCTCAAGTGTCTCTAATTTGGGACTAAAATGACTTTCCTCTGGGTAATGCACCTAAGCCTCTTAGGAGTTTATGGAAAGGGAGGATACTGGGAGTTCCAAGCCTGTCTAGGTGGTACTCAGAGTCTCCTCAACCATACGAGGTGGGATCCCCACCAACCTAATGTGTCCGTGTACCTTGATGCCTGTCCCAACAATGGAATTAATAATTACTACACAGGATGTGGTGACCCGTGTTGGGAACAGACTTCCTGAACCAACAATAAGTATGTTTGTCAAGGCTGGCAGGGAACCCCTTACACAACAGGTGGTTAAAATGCTGTCAATATGTGTAATAACATCCATTACTGGTACTGTGGAAACTGACAGTGTGCCAATGTACATTGTCCTGAAGAAGAAAAACACTGCAATTTGGTCTGTAAGACAGGTCTGGGTAAGCCCTCCTTACAATGGAAGGCTTCCCCTCACTCGGGCTCTAGCCCCCTCTGATGGCAAGAAGGGCGCTGTAATCCCATTCAGTATCATGTTTACAACCCAGTGACATTATCTGGGCACTGGATGGCACAGGTAAAGATCCTGCAATGTTAATTCACATTCAAAAGGTCTTTAGTCCCACTATTCGGGTCCCCACCTCCCAAGTTTTCAAACTTCAAACCTGAGCACACCAAAAATGACACTAGAGATCTCACTAGCTCCAGACCTGTTAAGAGTTGACTAATGGGACTTATACTGTTCTTCAGCAGGTTGATCCCATTCTGGGAGAAGACTGCCAGCCCTGTGTGTTGCCCCCGCTACCCTCACATACCAGGCTTTAGGGTTAAGTCCAATGCTTTCTGGTTCCTTGTTACTCAGTCCCCAGCAATTTTGCTTCAACCTCCCCCAACTCAAATAATGGGAAACTCCACTTACTTCCTGGGAAACAAGGGCTTTCCATGTGTCAGCTGACTGCGCCTCCATAACCCAACTCAGCTCCTCACTTCAGGCGAATAATGGAATCTTCTTTGAGTGCTTTAATGGGGTCTACCACACTTTCCCCACAGCACATGAGCCTCTGTGGTGTTGCTTTCCTGGTCCTAGATCTAAATGTTTACCCTGGTGATTAGGGCCCTCTGGCTTGCCCTAAATCCCACCAGAAACGGGATCTTGTGTTCCTGCCCATTTTGGCTGGCAAAGCAATAGCTGGCCTAGCCATTGTGGAACAGCCCTTGGCTTAGGACAGAGCCAGTATACACAACTGACCAACCAAACAATAGGAGACTTTGAGAGCATTCAACTCTATTGACACTCTAGGAGAGCAAATGGATTCTTTAGCCATGGTTGTCCTGCAAAACCAGGGGGCTTTAGACCTCCGAACAGCCCAACAAAGGGGAACCTGTCTTTTCCTAGAGGAAAAATGCTGTTAGGCTAAAAAGTCAGGATTAATCAAAACTCCCATCAGTTGCAAAAGTGCCTCAGAGAGCCAAAGATAAGATTCTTCTTGGAGTTCCCTAGACATTTTCCCTTCACCGGTGGGAGCCTTACTTGGGTCTTTAATGGCCCTCCTGATGGTCCTCATGAGTCCCTGTATGTGCATCCTGACCGGATTTCTGTGAGTGCTTTGAGGGTGTACATAGCCAGCTCTGCCTAAAGGCTACCCCTCCTATCAGCTTCTTAAAGCTGAAGAAAAATCTTCCTTATAAAAACAAAAGGGAGCAGGGTGTGGTGGTGCATGCCTGTAATCCTAGCACTCAGGAAGCTGATGCAGGAGGATTGTTGCAAACTCCAGACCAGCCTGGGCTACAAAGTGAGCTCAAGGCCAGCCTGAATGGCATAGTGGGACCCTGTCTCAAAAAGACAAAAAACCAAAAAAGTGGGAAAATTTTTACAACTATAGCTTCATAATTGGGCCATTAGACTCAGTTGGCCTTGACTACCCAGCTGCAACTCAGATAATGGACTCGGCTCGGTCTGTCCCACTGCACAATAGCCTACACCAATACTGTTTTGCTAGTCTGCCTCAGGGCAAGGTAGCCCTGTCAAGGTCATACTAAATCTTGCCCGCGACCCTAACCCACCCTTTTGTGCTCCATGATAAATGGCAAAAAGTATGTAAGTTGCTGTTTTACTTTAAGCCAGTGCTGGTGCTTTTGGGGAGCAATCCCACATCAACCCGCTGCTGGAAGCCTTCCAACTCTCTGGTGCAAAGCGTTTTCCATCCAGTTTGCTAGTTTCTGCACACTTGCACCAAGAGGTCCCTGATGTTGGTCTGGGCTGAGGGAGGGCAATGCCCACCTCCACAGGTGGGGCCGCTATGCAATTAGCTCCTCACACCTGGTGACTATGAAATTGGGGTGCAGGTGGCCCACAGCAGGCAACGAAATCTACTGTGCTTTGAGCGCCGAGGTCCCTCAGCGGGTGCACACAATCTCCCCACAGCTCCAGGGAAGCCTGGTAACAAGGAAGCAGCTCTCCTTAGGGTGATCAGATTGAGTATGGCTCAGCAAAGCTGCAGCTGCTCCAGCTCCAGCCTTAAAGATGTCGGTAAACAATGGTGTGGTCCACACTGGAAGTGGGGTAGGTACAGCTGGCTCTCTGGATGTGAGGCCTGCCCCTCACTGGACCGGTCCCACTTTAGAGCCTGGCCGCCCGGCTTGCAAGACCGGGAGCCCAGCCCTGATTTAAACCTCCACTGCGTGGTTAACAGCCTGGGCAAGCCCCTTGCGCCCTCTGCTGGCCGACAGGAGGCCCGGCGCGCATTCGTGACCCAGTGCTGGCCTCCTCTCCCCTTTGACATGGAAAAACCCTGACTTCAGTTTAAGTAATAAAAGTTTATTGAGAATTCCTGGGGTGGTGATTATTCCTCCCAACTGGAGGGAGGGTGCAACATGGTAGGAAATCACTGAGAAATCACACGGTCCCAACCCGCTAGCCGACACAGGAGGAAGAAATCGTCCCCGAAGGTCGGTCTTCAAGGGCTCCAGGCGACAGGAGTAGAGGGACCAACAGGTGGAATGGGGTGCCCGAGCCCTAGCTGCTCCTCAAGATCCAGAGGAGAAACAGCCACTTCCTCTCCGGGGCGGAGTTCTGGGTGACCAGGCTCATTTCTTACCCTTGATGAGGCTGTCACTGTGGGAGAGAGGGATGGTGAGCTGGGCCCTCCAAGAGCTGCTGTGGGAGGTGTAGGGAGCAGGCAGGCACTGGGTGGGGACCCCTGGGGCAGGACAGGGGAAACTCACCTTCCCCTGTGGACACCAGGTCGCCCAGCGAGCAGGAAAACAAAGAGAAAGGCACATGACTCACAGTTCAGGCTGTGGCTGTTTCTGCCCCCTGCCCCCCCCCCCCCCCCCCCCCCCGGCAGCTCCATGCCCGGGAGCAGCAGTTTTGGGGTTCCTGAGCGAGGACACTGGGCACCATCGTTCATCATTCTTTGGTCAGACAAGTATTTGCAATTAAAGCGCCCTTTATAGGATCAGAATCAGTCCTATGGGATGCAGGATAGCAGCTGGCAGCACCCCTGCCCCCACCGCCATCTCTGGTTCAGAGCCAGAATGTCTGTCACAGGTCACACATGTAGCTTCAGCAGGCTCAAGTTCAAGTGACCAGACTCGTGCCCTATGTGCCTTCACCATGCACTACACATCTGCTCACCGGGTGAAACTTTCATCCTGCAGGTTCAGCACGAGGTTGTCAGCCGTGAGATAGATGCGATTCTGTGAGGTGGCAATCTGAGGGCAATGAGACAGAGAGACCTTCTGTCCTCAAGAACCAAAGCAGTGCCAGGCGTGTGGTCCACGCCTATAATCTCAGCACTTGGGAGGCTGAAGCAAGAGGATTGTTGTGAGTTTGAGACCAGCCTGGGCTACGAAGTGAGCCCAAGGCCAGCCTGAACTGCACAGTGAGACCCTGTCTCAAAAAAAAAAAAAACAACCAAAGCAGTGAGTGATGACTCTGATGTGCTAGTCCTGGAAGCTTCCTTGATGAGGAAATAGTGCCACAGAAGCCAGTCTGAGTAGAAATCTGAGCAAGAAGAATCTAATTCCCTGACTTCAAAGCGTGTTCAGTGAGAACACTTTCACTCCAAGTAACCAAGGTGCAGGTGCTGGGCTCTCACTCACCGTCTTAGAGATGTTCTGGGCTGCCCGGATCTTACGGAGCTTGATGTAGCCAGGATTCTTACTCAGCGCTTCTCCGAGGTGAGCAGGGCAGGGTTAAGGGTCCACAAGGATGGGCCCAACCCCTCCTCACTACCCTCTTCTGGTCTGTCCTCTGGGCCGTCAGAACCAAGCTGTGCTCATGTGGCTTCTGCCCATCCCTCCCACAGCCCTGCCTGTGGGCCTCCCTGCAGGCTGCTACTAGAGCCAAGGCAGCAGCAGCCTTGAAGGCAAGGCAAGGCCAGCAGTCCTATGGGTCCAGCCTTACCTTGGGGAGCAGGCCTCAGAGTCCCCACCAAGATTCCAGACCCCATCTGTAGCCCCCTAGCCCAGGAGCCAAGGGGCAGACAGCATGAATCACATTCGCCTTGGTCTCATCAGCCGGACCAGTGGAGGACAGGTAAGCAGGGTGCCCCAGGGGCTGGGCCAATTCTTTGTGGCAGGATATCATCTTGGCGGCCTCCGCCTCACCCTCTGCCTGCACAATCTTCTGCCGCTGTTCCTGCTTTGCTTTTTCCACCAAGAACTGGGCCCGCTGGGCCTCCTGCTGGGCTGTGACAGAGTTAGGAGTCAAAGATGTGACAGGAGACTCAAGCACAGATGGCCCCACTTGTGCCCCTGCGGCTGAAGACCTAGTCCCAGTCCCCTTGTGACTCACCCACTTGTTTGGCTTCCACAGCAGCTGTGTACTCCCGGCTGAAGCTCAGCTCTGTAATGGCGACATCATCCAGGATGAGGCTGAAGTCCTTAGCCCTCTCTGTCAGCTCGCGGCGGATCAGCAGGGACACCTGGGGGCAGGGGTGGGGAGGGGAAGGGAGGGATGGTTTGAGGGGGCTGGAGAACTGGAAGGAAGATTGTGTGGCTGTGACCATCTGATGTCAGAAACTGAGAATGGTGGGAAACTCACTAGCCTGGTTTAGTTCCTCCGACGTTCACTAGGCCACTGAGTTGGACAGGACTTGGTTCAGTCTTGTCAGGTAGATGACCCTGCATCAGGGAGGTGGTCTGACTGGCCCAGGTCACACTGATTCCTAATCCTCCACTCCCTCCAATATAAGCAGCATCTTCTTAGCTACTGCCAGGCAAACCCACAATTCTCTTCACAAAGAGGTAAAGGAACATCTGGGTTTTGTCACTATATTCTTCTCCTGTGTTTCCTTCCTGACACTGACTGCTATGGACTTCTGGTGTTGGTTCGCCTTACATCCTGCCAGTGGCAAGTGGCATCGCTTTTAATGGAACCAGAGCACTGACCTTGGGCCTAGGAGGGAAATGCTGCCAAACGGGAGGGACTCAGACCTGCGCCCGCTGCGTAATCAGCTGTGAGGCATTGAACTTCGCCACCACGCTCTTGAGCACCTCGTTGACAATGGACGGTAACACTCGCTCCTCATAGTCCAGGCCTAGGCGTTGGTACATGCTGGGGAGCTCCTGGGCATTGGGCCGAGACAGCACTCGCAGGGAGATGTTCACCATCTGCAGGTCTGAGGGAGAGGTCAGCAGGGGCTGGTCAGGGTTCCCCCACCCCTGCATCCTCCTTTCCCATGCTTCTCTCTAAGCCAGTGATGGCACGAGCACTGCAGCGGACAAGCAGAGCCCTCTGTCAGCATTTGAGCCAAACGGCCCCACACCTTGAAAGCGGATAGCTGAAATATATGCATTTAGAAAACTACATTTGCAGACAATCCTACAAGCCATTAGGAAATCTACAAGGGATCTCCTAGCATTGTAGCAGTTTCAAAGGAGAATTTAAAAACAGATTTTTACAGTTCCATAACCCTGTGTTTTCTCCTCCAGAAAAGCCACATTTTAAGAATGTGATCTTTTCTGCTTACACTGGTTAGATTTTGGAAATCTGGAAATGGAGCTACTGGAATTTGAAGAAAGCTCTATACGAAAAAGTAAATTCTATGGCCTTCATGTAATACTTAAGATGCAGACAAACGACAACAGTTGGTAGTTCTCAAAAGTGTGGAATTCTCTGCTGAATAATTTTAAGTCAAAACATTTGGCACTGCTTTTCTTTGGATAAGTGTGTGCTTGTGAGCAGCTGCTTCAGGTTTGAATTACAGCAAACCTGATAAAAGAACCAGGCTAACAGGTGACCAGTGCCGCGTGTGTTGCTCTCAAACTAAGTATGAGCCAAGCTCTGAGAGATCATCAGTGCGTGCACAGCAGCAAAGACCACACTGTGCATAAAAAAGCACCCCAATGCAAACCTTTACTTTTTTTTTTTTGAGACAGGGTCTTGCTATGTAACCCAGGTTGGCCTTGAACTCATGGCAATGCTGCCCCAACCTCCCACATGCTGGGATTACTGGTGTATACCACCACGCCCAGCAACTTTCACCTTTTTTGTTGTTTTGAGACAGGGTTTTGCTATGTAGTTCAGGCTGGCCTTGAACTCACTATGTAGCCCAGGCTGGCCTGAACCCATGGCTCTCCTTCTGCCTCAGCCTCTGCAGTGCTGGGATTACAGGTGTTTTGAGAAGCTGTATCATAGAAAGCTATTTCTGTGTTTTTAAGACAAAAGGTGTTAATGTATAAGTTGTTTTTTCTAAACTAAAACCTCAGTATTCAGGTTTAACTGCAGTGCTGGTACTTTGTGATACATAAGTGAGTTTTGGGTCTCAGTTGGGGACCCGGTCTCTAAGCCCAGTGAAATGCTGCACAATGTAGCACTTCCCTGGGAAGGACACTCATCAGGTCAATGTCTGTGACAAAGCACAGGTGAAATGGCTCCTTGTGCACTGTGAAGCCTTCACCCACACAATCCCTGTTAGTTTTGTCACTGGGGTTTGTACAATCTCTAACGTTAGTGCTATCATGCAGGATCACAATCACCTCTCTCCTTCGCTAGACTATGGAGAGCTAAGGACAAGAACTGTTACTTCTTTTTTCTCATGCTACAAATTGAACCCAGGGTCTCTGCATTGAGCTACCTGCCTAGCTTCTTGTATTTTTTGAGACAAGAGTCTTAATCGTTAAACTGCCCAGGTTGTGCTTGAACTTGCAGTCTTCCTGCCTCAGCCTCCTAGAGTGCTGGGATTATAGGTGTAAGCCACTATACCCTGCAAAGATTGTGTTTTATGGATCTGTTTACCCTAGGGCTTCACAGTACAAAAAAACATATTACTAGTCATAGTGAGCTACCTGCCTCAGTGCATAAGTCAATGGGAGAGAGAGTGAGTCAGGGGACTGGGCAGTCTCAGTAGCATGGCTTTTCGGTATGAAATATAAGGAGAGAATTAGCAAAGAATGTAAACAAGCTTCTCCAGGGTAGGGCGTATCAGTACATCCATAACTGAATTATCAAATCAGAAGAGAATTTTCACCTGAACAGCGACTTAAAAAAAACGATAAACAATATTCTGGTTTCTTTTACATTAGGGTAAACAGATTGTTAAAACTGTTAAAATACAGTCGGATGGAATGTACTAATACTTTAACCTCAGGACGCAGGCTTTTATGTAGACTCGGAAACCCAAAGCAGGAGACCCCGCAGTACTGTTTCCCCCATGGACGGTCCCTTGCTTATGTTAGGTATCCCACCTGCCAAGTGACTCCCAGTTACCCACACTTACCTTTGGAGCCTGTGGGGGAGGAGATTTTTCGGGGTCTGGCCCGAATGTCATAGATTATGGGGTACTGGAACCAGGGGATCCTGGAGGGGAGAGGGCGGGGACAGGCATTAGGAAACTGCAGTTTCGCTAACTCTGTCCAGTCTGCCTTCACCACGTGCTTTTTGGTCTGCTCCTCCCGAAAGGAACCACAGACAAGAACAGTCGTTTATGCGCTGCTGCAGGACTCTGAGCGGCACCCGCTGTCCTGAGAGCGGGGCGAGGACGAGGAGGGAGCAGCGTGAACCGTGTCGCAGGCGGGTCACGTCAAGGGTGAAGGCTCAGGGTCAGCCCGCGCTGCCCGCCATTACCTGAAGTGGAGGCCCTCGGCCAGGATGGTGTCCTGCTGCACGCCACCGATCCGGTTAAAGAAGATGGCTCGGTGGCCGCCTTCAACTGGAGAGAGAGGGCGGGGGTCAGGCTCAGCCCAGGGAGCAGCGCGAGCGGCTGCCGAGCGCGACACCCGGCGAGCCCGGGCAGGGGGCCGGGGCGGGGACCCCAGCGAGGAGGAGGAGGCTGCTCACCGGTGAACACGGACTCGCGGACGCCGTAGGCCACCGCGCCGGCCCCCAGTAGTAGCTTCAGCGCCGTGCCCATGCCCCGAGGCCCGGCGGGCAGGCGTCCCGCTAAGTCCTTCAGGTTCTGGGCCATGTCTGAGCCTGAGGGCGGCGGCACCAGAGGTGAGGAGGGGGTGCCCGCCCGCCTGTACCCCACTCCAGCCTAGAGTTCACAACCGCACACGAGGGTTCAGGGCCCAGGGCTCCGAGGAGAAAGGGCACCGGAAGTGCGTTCCCTTCTAAACCCTCCCCTCTGCCTCACGCCGGACCCGAACCCCGCGCACAGAAATCACGCATCCGGAAGTCCCACCCCATTGTGGAACCCTGCCCTTTCAGGCAGGCTTTGGTAGCGCAAGACTATAAGCTATAGCTTTCTCCCGGCGCCCACTTTCAAAATGGCAGCCGGAAGGAAGTGTGCGATAGGACCAGCGGGAGAATATAATTAAGCCCATTGGAAGGACTTCCGGTCTGCTGGCAAGATGGCTGCGCCCAGTGGTGGGTTTCAACCTCGTGAGCGGAGCTTTGGGGAGGAGGATGAGAATTGGGATGCTGCCGCGCCCAAGAGGCCCCGACTCGGAGCAGGAAGCAAGACCGGAGGCCGTCGGTTCATTGTGGTGCTGGAAGGAGCCAGTCTGGAGACGGTCAAGGTAGTCTGAAGCAGGAAGTGTGGAACGAGTAGATTGAGAGGGTGGGATTTCTTGGGATGAGGTGGAGGCCACAAAGTGGAGAAAGGAAAAGTGAAAAACCTTTTTGGAGGAAAGGTGGTGGAAGAGTCACGTAGTTGATTATCACTCGGTTTGACATCCTGGGTTAGCAGAACTGGTTCTTTTCCTTTTCTTGACTCTTATTCCAGCTGTCACTTACTTGCTTTCCCACGGCTGCGTGGTACAATATCATGTAAAGTCAGGGCAGTTTCGTCCACATGGCTTCTCATGTCCCAGTCGAGAAAGATAGTTATGTTAAAGTAGGTAACAGTACTGTAGCCTAGTTTGTCCAGCATTTTATTGGTAAGAACTTGAGGTTTCATTTCGTTGAAGGATTACCACTGTAGCCCCTTTTTCTGTCCACCTTAAAACACTGCCCGGATCACATTATTATTTAATAAGCCTCTGTCTCTCTTTTATTTTTATTTTTTTGTACCAGGTCTCTTTTTCTTATTTATTTATTTATTTATTTATTATTATTATTTTTTTTAGGTCTCTTTTACTTTTACGTATAATTTTTTTCCTCTGGATGAAATAAAGTCAGCAACTCTCTTACTTAACATCTTGTACTATGTCTTCATGTGGTATGACTTTGTCTCTTACCCTTTAGAGCCAAACTTGTTAAATAAGTAGACCCAGAACTTCAGAAGTCAGAATTCTAATTTTCTTTTTTGGAGACTGGGTCTTGCTGTGTAGTTTAGGCTGGTCCTAAACTCACTATGTAGCCCACGCTGGTTTTTTTTTTTTTTTTTTTTTTTTTTCGACGCTGGTTTTAAACTCTTGGCAATCCCTCTGCCTCAGCCTCCCGAGTGCCCTGCTTTAATCTTGTTTCTTAACATTTATTTTATTACGTGATTTTTGAGAAAATAAATTCATTTTTTAAAATAGGGATACACGTTAACTGTGAGCCACATGGGGGAATAGTGAAAGTCTTTTAAAAATAGTACATTTTCATAATAATCTAAGGTGAGATTCCTTCCCGTCTGTTCCTCAGCCACTGTAACACTTTGTTAAGATTTCAGGCTAGACACGCTGTTGTTTTAAAAATGACCAGGTAATAATAAGGATTCTTTTTCATTGTTTTTTCTGTAATTGGTATTTCCAACCTAATTACAGGTTCTTGTGTTTATCCCTTACTAATTGCCTCCTGTTGTTCTATTAACTCGGTTAATTTTGACATTTGCTGTCGGATATAACTGTAATTTGCAAATGTGAACTGCTTGTCTGTATCAGCCATGGACTTGCACTAGATTGCCTGGGTTCAAATCTGTCTACTAGTTGTGTGACCTTAGGCAAAACCTTAGTTACTTTAGGGGATAATAAATATAAATATAAATACAAATGTAAATATATATTGAATATAAATATATATGTTTTATATATATATATATATACCAGGAATCAAACTCAGGACCTTGCGCTTGCCAGACAGGCGCTTGTGCCACTGAGCTATATATCCCTAGCCTAGGGGATAATAATATTGAGAGAGATTAAAGGAGTTAATTTGTATAAAATTGTTGAAGTAATATGCCTGGCACTTGGAATAAGTTAATAGGTATGTATGAATTTGGCACATGCCTGTAATCCCAATGCTCAGGAGGCTGAGGCAGGAGGATCAGTTTGAGTTTGAGGCCAGCCTGACCCTGTCTCAAAAAAAAAAAAAGTTGAAAAGGCTGGGCATGGTGGGACACACCTATAATTCTACCACTCTGGGAGGCTAAGGCAGGAGGATGCAAAGTTTTAAGTCAGCCTGGCAATTTAGTGACCCAGCAAGGCCATATTTCAAAAAATAAAGAGGATGTTGCTCAGTGTGAAGGCCCTGTATTTAATCTCCAGCATCACAAAAAATAAAACCACCGCCAAGAAATTGAAAAAGTTATGGGCAAATTAAAGTTCCTAGAACATATTCAGAAGAATTTAGGTCAGTTTGTGAGGTGAATGTGATAACCCCTACACTATGGAAGCTGACAGGTTAAGCTGTCGTTAATGAACTTCAAAGATTAGAGACCTCACAGCTGGCTGAAGTCTTCATCAGGCTGTATTATGTCTGCCTTGTACTAGCACCTGTTGCTTCTACGAGTCTTATCTGGCAAGAAGTCTGCCCATTATTATTGTTATATTACTTCCCATTTATTGTTACTATTATTGGTGCTACTGGGGATTGCACCCAAGGCCTTCTCAGCTTTCTTTTTTTTTGGTATCAGGAATTGAACTTGGGACCTTGTGCTTGCCAGGCAGGCACTGTGCCACTGAGCTGTATCACTGGTCCTTCCCAGCCTTATTTCTGAGAAAGGGTCTTGCTGAATTGCCCAGGTTGGGCTCAAATTTGCAGTTTTCCTGCCTCAGCCTCCCAGATTATTAGGATAAAAAGCATGCACCACTATGTCTGGCTTCCATTTATTCCTATACTCCAGTCTCAGCGGCCTTCCTTTAAGTCTTTTGAACACAGTAAGTTCTATACCTTGCAGCCGTTGAATATATTGTTCTTTCACAGCAAGCCCGTAACTCAGCTCTTTGCCTCATTAATTGTTACTTAGTTGTTCATTTTACAACTGAGTTTCTATAATAAATGCATTCTTCATTTATTAGGTTACACCAGGGAATCACTGGTTTCATAGCATTTATAAAAAGGTAGATAGATGTATTACATGATAATCTGGCCCAGTGTCTGGGAGGGGTGGAAGTGGATTGATTCCCTGGCATAAATCTCCTGTTACAGTCCTTTAATAATCCCCTTACTCTTTCTTGGCAATGTTAAAGTTTGAAGTATGTAACTGTTTATCCTTTATGTCTTTGTGAGGGCAGAGAGTAGAATAAGGTTTCAAAAATTCTTATTTTCACTACCTTTTATAATTACTGATATATAGTCATTGATTAGTGGTTTTTAAGCGTATTAACCCACAAAAAGGTTACATGTGAGTCAAGAGACACATTGAACTATATGAAACCAAGTTCCATAAACATTTTTGTTTTTTGAGACAGAGTCTTGCTATGCAGTTCAGGCTGGCCTTGAACTTACTATGTAGCTCAGGCTGGTCTTGAACTCATAGCGATCCTCCTGCCTCAGCCTTCCGAGTGCTGAGATTACAGGTGTGCACCACCATGCCTGGCACTCATAAGCTATTATTACTATATGTAAAGTACTTTTGGCGTTTTCTACTGTTTTATTAAAAGAACAACCACCCTGTTTATATGCTAGGAATGGGTGGAAATTGGTTATTCTATGTAAGGGGTTCTTTTTCAGTGTGGTGGTTAATGCCTACAGTTGTAGCTACTTGGGAGATTGAAGAAGGGGCATTGCAAGTTTTTTGTTATTGTTTTGAGCAGCGTCTCACCAAGTAGTGCAGGCTGGCCTGAATTCATTGCGATTCTCCTGCCTCAGCTTCCCAAGTGCTGGGATTACAGGTATGTGCCACCATTTCCAGTGAGGATAGCAAGTTTGAGGGCAGCCTGAGCAATTTAGTAAGACCCTGTCTCAAAATATAAAAAAGGGCTGGGCTGGGCAGGGCTTGCACTCCTATAATCCCGGCATTCAGGAAGCTGAGGCAGGAGGATGGACATGAGTTAGAGGCCATTCTGGGCTACATAGCAAGACCCTGCTGCAAAGAAACAACAAAAGGAGGGAAGTGGGGCTGGGATGTAGCTTAGCAGTGAGGCTGTGGATTCAATCTCCAGTACTGTGGATGTGGTGGGTTATTTTTTTTTTTTTTCTATTAAAGTCTCATGGATTTAGTTCTTGGTTCTTTGTGTGAGTTTGTGTTCTTTGTGACATTCTTGATATTTCAACCAGTTAATTTCAAAATCTACATTCCTTTTCCTCCAACTTTTTCAGCCATGTAAAGACATATATACATATTCTAGTGATACACAGAACAGCCTCTCATGACCTGTATTTTTTTGAGGGGGGTGCGGTACTGGGACTTGAATTCAGGACCTCACACTTGCTAGGCAGTTTGTACCACTGAACAAAACCCTGGCCCCTCATGACTTGTGTTTGTATTTAACAGTGTATTTTTATTTTTAAAAAGTTTTTTGGAGACAGGTCTTATGGAAGACCAAACTCTAGCCTTGAGTTTACTCCTGGCCTTGAGTTTACAGTGTAGCTCAGGCTGCTTGGAACTTTCAGTGATTCTCCTACCTCTGCCTCCTCAGTGCTGGGATTACAGGAGTGCATCCCATGCCTGGTGATGCTGTATTTTTGAACTTTACTGACCTCTTTTTTTTGAGACAGGGTCTCACTGTGTAGTCCAGACTGGCCTTGAACTTGGTGGTGATCCTGTTTCCCTAGTGCTGGGATTACAGGCATGCACCACCACACTCAGCTGCTTTTGTCATCTTTTTAAGATAAGTGTCTCGCTGTGCAGTTCAGGCTGGCCTTGAACTCAGCCTCCTAAGTACTGGAATACAGGTGTACACCACCACACCTGGTGCGCTTTCGTTTTTCCTTGACTCATTTGTACCTTTTCTCACACTTGTCTCAGAACTGGGAGAATCCCCTTTTATTTAGTTCCTTCTGAGAGAAGTGTTCCTTGATTGAATTGTCACACTTCCTGCTTAGATCTACAGCTTTGTTTAGTTCATGTTTGTTGTAAGCAGACTCAGGGCAGTGATTTCGTCTGTTTTCTGCAGTAACTATGTAGTGCTTCTGTGACAAACAGGAACATTCAGCCTTGCTCACTCATTCACCTGACTCCTGCCTAGTTCTGTCCTATCAGTGGCCTTGCTCAGCGGCCACAGGTTGTGCCCTTCCTCTCGTCCCTGAGAGTGGTTATTTGGGGGTGTGTGTAAGTGCGACCACACGGTGGACCTCACCTCCCATGACTGAGTCAGAAGGGGGCCTAAGCATTTGCCTGCCGGATAGGTTTCCAGCTGCTGCTGCTGGCTCGGGGCCACATTCTGAGAATGACTGGGCTAAACAAGGAGCTTACGCTGCTCTCCTCCCATCTCTTCTGTTCTCGTTCTTCAGGTAGGGAAGGCGTATGAACTACTCAACTGTGACAAGCACAAGTCTATGTTGCTGAAGAACGGGCGGGACCCTGGGGAAGTAAGACCAGACATAGCCCACCAGGTAACTTGGTCTCCTGAGCCTCAGGGAAGGGGAGGCGGCAGGATGCTGCTGCTTATGGCCCTCACTGGCCCGGCCTTTGCCTTATCAGAGCTTGCTGATGCTGATGGACAGCCCGCTGAACCGGGCCGGCCTGCTGCAGGTGTATATCCACACGCAGAGGAACGTGCTGATTGAAGTCAACCCCCAGACCCGTATCCCCAGGACATTTGACCGCTTCTGCGGCCTCATGGGTAAGGAGCACAGGACCTCAGAGTTCAGGATGACCACAGCAGCGAAGAGGGGGAGGAGGAATGAGAGTGTTAGAGGGTGGGTTCTCTCGGGAGAGAACGTGATTGGTGCTAGGGCAGAGACTCCATTGTGTTGTGCTTCTGCATGCATGGAAATTCTGCTGTCCTCTCCTTGGAGTAGGTTCCTAGCGAAGAGAAAACAGGAGCTTGAAGCCATCACTGCTGCTAGCTTGGGTGCTGCCCTGGTTGTCACATGTAGGAGCAGTGTGGTGTGGGCACATGGCACCCACCTCACCTGGTGGTTCTCTAGTTAGGAAGCTGGGCAGAGTGGAGTCACCACCTAGTTGTTTTTTTTTTTTTTTTTTTCCTTAAACTTTGAGACAGGGTCTTACTATGTAGTCTAGGCTGCCCTCAAATTTGTGGTGATCCTCCTGCCTCAGGAGGCTTCTGCCTAGTTCTGAACCCTTTTTCCTCCTAGTTCAGCTTTTACACAAACTGAGCGTCCGAGCAGCTGATGGCCCCCAGAAGCTTTTGAAGGTGAGGCACTGAAACCCACAGCATGGATAGAGTTTGGGGATTCTTTGGAGCTGATTTTCTTTTTTTCTTCAGGTAATTAAGAACCCAGTGTCTGATCATTTCCCAGTTGGCTGTATGAAAATTGGCACTTCTTTTTCCGTCCCGGTCATCAGTGATGTGCGAGAGTTGGTGCCCAGTAGCGACCCTATTGTTTTTGTAGTGGGGGCCTTTGCGCATGGCAAGGTAAGGTTTGGGCTCAGCTCTGAGATCCCTCATAGAGCTAAGGCTTAGTAAGAATTCCCAGAGTGGTTAGCAGTTAACAGTCCTTCCATACAGGGAAATAGAGGGGAGAATAGCAGCTACAAGACAAATGGTGGTTCCACTTCTTATGCCAGGAAGACTGCTTGCTTGTAGCAGACAAAGCCAGATCTTCACGTTCTCTAGGGAAATGCTAGCTTGGCTGCAGTTTTCCTTTTCTGAGGAAAGGCTGAGCTTTTGAGGAGCAGCTGGTTGACGGGACTGTTGTCTCCTCAGGTCAGTGTGGAGTACACGGAGAAGACAGTGTCCATCAGCAACTACCCCCTCTCTGCTGCCCTCACCTGTGCCAAGCTTACCACGGCCTTTGAGGAGGTGTGGGGGGTGATCTGATGGCAGCAGAACCTGGTTCTGAACCAAAGGACTATCAGCCCCCTGGCCCTGCTGTGAATGGACTGCGGCCAGCCGACCTTTCAGCACGGAGCCTGGAGCCCAGGAAGCCCATGCTGTACATTTGCTCTTCATTTGTCCTATAAATGTGTTTTTCTCAACCCAGGTTGTTTTGGGTTTCTAAGCTTAGCAGAGTCGAATGGTATAAAGTGTTCTCAGACTTCAGGGCAGACATGAGGTCACAGAGTTCACACTCTCTGTTAGTGCTGGGCTGTGAAAGCAGCCCTGGAATTCTCACGCTGTAAAGGAGACAACCCTGAGATTTCAGCCATGTGTGCACCAAGAACTGTGTATGAAAGAAAGCAATGGATGCCAGCAGTGAAAAACCCACAAACAGAAGTGATTTTATCTGGTACAGTTCCAAGATAGAAAAGTGGAGCAGGTGGGGCCGCGTACCCTCTCCTCCCCCATGGGGGCGGTGGCACAGACAGTCCTAGGAAATTGGCAGAAGAACAGCAGAGTCCCGGCTGGAGGGGAGAGATAAGGCAACGTGCATGGGGGAGTAAGGGGGACGAGGCCCCCCACTCCTCCCACAAAAGCCTCCCCTTTGGCCGCCGCAGCAGAGGCACAGCTGGGAGCACACGGCTTCCGTCTCCCTGGCTTTCTGTGCGCTGGATGAGGGAGTGCTGTGAAAAAGGGCCGAGTAGTTTCTGCACCAGTCCTGCTTTAGGCCACCTGCAAGACAAGACGTGAGACTACAAGCTGGTCCTGGGGCTTGGTCCCTGTCACTGCCCCATAGCTTCCTCCTAGTGGCCTTGAGTTACCGGTCCTCAGTGCCCCGCATGGGACCCAGGAGCCAGGCTACCTGGACATCCACCCCAGATTTCTGCTGCTGTCCTTGATTCCCAGTTTGTGGCTCTAGCCTGTACCCTGCTAGCTTCAGCACAGCTGTGGAATATTTACCAGAGAAACCGATTATTCTGTCTTCTTTAACTTCTCTTTCCTTGGCACCAATGCTTTGCGGATGTAAGGCAGTGTGAATAGTAGGCTCAAGAAGAAGACGTGGCCGAGAAAGTAGACAGATTTATATACCTGTGGTGGGAGAGGCTGGTGAGCTAGGTATGGGGCACAGTGTGTCCTGGATGCCTAAGCTCCCTGGATCCTCCGGCAGCTTTGCGGGCCTCCCCTCACCTTAAACCACTTGTCCCACGTGAAGAGGCAGAAGGCGGTCATGGAGTAGCCCATGAAGAGCCAGTGGATGGTCTGCTGTACCACGTAGAACAAGGGCTGCAGGGCAGTGATGTTGGCGAGGCTGCTGAGGGCTGGACTGTTTTGGATGAGGGCGGCAACCTGGACGGAAGGAGAGCAGGTATCAGTGCCTTGTCCCCTCCTCTTCCTCCTCGTCATGCGCCCCCTTGAGGCCCACCTGCTTTTCCACAATAATGATGAGGAACTCCATCTGGAAGCAGACCAGGTATCCTGAGTGGAGGCCATGCCAGAGGGCCAGGAACAGCAATGAGAGACCATGGGACAGTTGTTTATTTCCAAGGAACTTGAGGCGTTTGAAGAAGTAACTGGAGAGAAGAGGATGGATGAGCCTCGGGATCTACTCCCTGCCCCCACTATCCTGCTGAGGGCTCTGGGTAGCACGGCAGCTGGCTGTCACTTGTGGCCCCTGGGGGTTTGGGAGGCAGTGCTCACGCCCACTTTAGAGACAGCTAGTTGGCAGGGTGACCTCAGGTGAGCCACTAGCTTGTGCAGGTGGTAACGGCCTACCAAGTGCCTGGTACAGAATGTTCAGGGCCAAGGGGTGATCATTCTCAAGCTGCTTGTGCTCCAGCGGGGACAGCAAGTAAATGGTGACCTTATGCACAGGGCAGCGGAGGGTGTGAACTAGTGAGAAGACCGCTCAGCAGTTAAGAGTTTGAGGCACTTCTGTGGGATGTTTTGCGGTGCTGGGTGGGGACAGTAGTATGTGAGTGACGGAAGATTCTACCCACACACATCCCTGCCCTCAATGGGAGCAGTGGTGAGAGCCTGGCGCCAGCCGCCCCCACCCCCCACCCCCTGGTGCTGACCGGGCCACCCAGGCGTTCGTGTTGATGTTGAAGGAGGCGATGGTGCCGTTGAATTGGGGAGTTGTCTCAAAGAGCCACACCTTCATGTTGGCACAGGCATCCCACTTGGCTTTTCCGTCTTCTCCAAAGCCATTGAAGCCCAGCCCCGTCAAGATGCACACTCCTTCCTGAGGCAAGAGAAGGCTCAGGGTCCCGGCTCCTCCCCACCCTAGCAGGCCCGCAGCCGTCTGCACACGAGCCTGGGCCGCTGTTGCTACTTACTGTGACCAGCCAACAGGTGACGTATTTGTACAGCACAAACTTGCCCCAGATCAGCATGTACATGCAGCGGAACCAGAAAGAGCGGTTCTTGAAGGAAGAGAAGGTGTGTGTGAGGCCCAGCACACAGGTTTGCCAAGCACTTGTCCCCTTCAGACTTGGCTATGCTCGTCAAGGTGCAGCCTTGTGTATTTGCCCCTCTGGCCTCACTGCCTTTCTCACAGGCTGGGTGGGATGGGCAGGGAGCCCCAGAAACACCCACCCACCCACTCCCAGATGCAGCTCTGTCCTTTACTTGTGTCATCTGCTTTCCTGGAAGTTAAGTGCTAGGGACCTTAAAGGTCTGCAGTCTGTGGTAACCTACCTGGAATGGGGAGGGAACTGCTGCACTGAGCTAAAGCCAGCTGGTCCCCTTTGGGTTTCCCAGAGGCCCCCAAATCTGCTAGCCGAGCAGGAAACAGGCTGGAGTCAGCCTGCTGTGACCACGGAGCTGCTGTGTGTAATGAAGCAAGCTAAGTGTGGCTCTGGCTGCTCAGTGTGGGATGGCAGATGTATTGTGGCCCAGCTGGCACTGACCCCAGCTCTCACAGATGGCATCGCCACCACCTCTGCTACCTATGGGGTCCTGCTGTCCAAGAGGCACCCGCCCTGCACTGTGTCGGCCCAGCACGAGCCACTCACTTCGTAGTCCTCAGAGAGCAGGTAGTCCTCTGTGATGTGCGGGCTGAGCAGCGTGTGACCCACCAGGTAGATAAGGCCCAGGCTCAGGCGCTTGAGAGCAGGTATGGTGCTGCAAAGGAAGGAGTGGTGTCATGGGAAGGGGCCGGCTGCACTTCCGCCCCTCAGTCACAGCCGGGTCTAGCTGCGGCTGCAGGAAAAGCTCTGCTGCCCAGAGTGAACACCATTTTGGAGACAGCTGTGTGGCGCTGTGCGAATGGTGCCTGACAGCTGTGCCTACAGGAAGGGCAGGCAGGGCGGACAGCAATAGCAGCCATCACTTCTTCCTGAGTTGATGCTGAGACTCAGGCTGGCAAGTTCTCAACAAAGGAGTTCTTCTGGTCACTTTTCAATTTTCTACCAATATATATTCATATACATTTTTTCCTTTTTTATATACGTTTTTATATACTTAAAAAATCCTTTTTTCCAGCCAGGGGTGGTGGCACATCTGTGCCTATAATCCTAACACGCTGGAGGCTGAGACAGGGGGATCGTTGTGAGTTGGAGGTCAGCCTGGACTACAGAGTGAGCTCAAGGCCAGCCTGGACTGCATAGCAAGACCGACTCAAAGAGACAAAAAAAAAAAAAAAAAAAAATCCTTTCCACGCCCCCAGCAGTGGGGACCGAACCTATGGAGCACTGAGCTACATCCCCAGCTCTTTTTACTTAAGGGCCTTGTTAAATTGCCTAGGCTGGGCTTGAACTGGAGATCCTTCTGCCTCAGCCTCTCAAGTAGTTGAGGTTATAGGCATGTACTACCACACTTAGCTTAAAAAAGAAAAAAAAAATGAGAAAACAGGCTTTCAAGTCATGGACATGACTACTTTGGGTAAAATCCCATGGCATAAAAATGAATGTTTTTATCATGTGCACCATGGCACATGGTAGTAATCCAGATGAGGCAGGAAGATAGTAAGTTCAAGGCCAACATGAGGTACATAGGAACACTTTGTCTTAAAAGACAAAACAAAAGTCTTAATGTTTGTAATTTGGGCTGAAAAAGCCACTAGGAGCACAGCCTGGGGTCTGAGAGTCACGGTCTTCATGTAGGGCCAGGCTGAGGAAGCCGCTTCAGAAGAGACTGTGCCTGGGGTCGTGCCCAGAGAGCACGGTTACCTGTTTGGCATCTTCCCTGGTGTGTCCGTCAGCTTCCCCTGCACCAGCTTCATGTAGTGGTTCATGGAGAACTGGGGACCTACCAAGAATGCCCCGTAGAAGTAGGAGAAACCAGCAACTTCCAGCAGGGAAGGGACGCCACGGAAGGCATACTTCTGCTGCTCAGCGGTCAAGGAGCTCTGTGCCAAGACAGAGTGGAAGGTTCAGAACACCCTGGCATATCCGCCCGGGAGCAAGGCCAGGCGCTTCACACAGCGCCCCCTGCTGGCGCCATCTGTCTTGAGATGGATGGAAAAAGGCTGCTCAGTGTGGAAAGGAGTAGGGGTAGGTGGTTTAGCAACAGCTGGTTGTTGCTGCTTTCATAGTCTCTCATGGCTCTGGTCTCTGTGCAAGAGCTGGGTCCCGGGCGAGTGAGATTTGTGGGTCCTTGCCCAGTGCACTCTGACGTGGGGATCACAAGCTGGGAGCTGAGGCACAGGCTCTGGCTCTGAAATCCGGGTCTACCTTGGGAACAACAGCCTTCCTCCTCCCTCAGATTAGGCTGTGAGTCTCTCTGCAGTGGAAAGGGTACTTACCTCCTCTTTGCCTCCATCAAAGTAGTCAACAGCCAAACCTGACAGAGAGAGAAGGGGTGGGTAGAGCAGAGGGAGAGGACACAGGACTTGGCCTGCGCCTGCGTGCAGGCAGCTGTGTGCTGGGGACACCAGGAGGTGTGTGGCCTTTGGGCGGGCCTACCACCTACCGATCAGCTTCAACGTCAGGACACAGTGTGGCATCGTCCACTTGATATCGTAGTTGCCTGTGGCAGTGTAATAATATCCAGCAAGAAGATAGGCCTGGGGGGAATTAGTACACCATCACTACGAGGTCTTGATTTTTCCTTGCTCTGAAATCCCTAATAGTCTCATTTTTTTGTTTCTCCTCATGAAAAGCTTTAAGAAGTTGCTACAAATGGGGACAATAAGCCTATAATGGGAAGAGACTGGCTC